CAATAGAACTATGTACTTTACTTAAAATAGCAGAAAGGAAAAGGAAAAGCCCACGCTTAAACAGTTTCAACTGAGAAGTTTCTTACCAGAATAGCACTTGATTCAATTTCCATCTCTTGCGTTCCATGTCACGTTGTCACTTTGTTTTTCTTTGTTGATGTGTTCTGGATGTACTCATCTTGGACAACAACTGACAAGAGTTTTTGAAAATTTTACTATGAATAAGCTTCTAAGGCCAGAATAACTTTGTTAAGGGCAAATTTCTCTTGGTATTCAGCATGCTGATAGGAAAAAAGCAAAACAAATAGCCCATAAATTAGAGCCACTAGTTCCACCACAACAATTCTAGTGACAAACGAACCAGATATAAGAACATTGTACAATGAGCAAGCATGAAAGCATTCTTTGCCACTTCAAATCAAAATCAGGATTCCTGCACGCAAATAAGATTTACTTATTTGTTGCAACCAAGCCAAGACTTTGTTCTCGACAATTAAAGAATAAAAAATGGTTTCAGAATTCTTCTTAATTTAAAAAAAAAAAAAAGGAAACAATTGGGCCAAAGTGTATGTAACTGATAATGGTAACTTTCTGCTGCTCTCATCCATAACTCTTCTCATCTGAACGTTGAGGTTAAAAAGAATTAACAGTTCTACCATCGGCAAGCTGCACTTTTCCTTTCCAGTTTCATTCCATCCTCTTCATAAATTTACCTGTAAGACATGACAGACTGAACATTATACAATATACATGTAAGTTGTACTACGAATACATGCAAATTTAATTACCAAGAGACAATATAAACTAAGAAAGAGGGAATGGATTAAAAATTTAAAATTTTCAATTACAAGTGTCGATATCTCATTTTTTCCCCACACATGGTTCTTCAATATGACAGCACAAAATCGAGAGTGTGAGTATTCTCTAAATTTACCTGCAGTTATTGTTATTCTTCCTTGAGATCTTCCCAATTTTCCGCCAATCCTTGTGTTATTATTTCAGATTCATCAGGTATGAAATCATAAATAAGATCTAGTAGAAAATATAATATCATCTTTTATTATATTATTGACAGGGCAGAACTATGGAAACAGAGGCAAGAAGTCCTCAGATAGGTCTCATGAGAGAGGGCATAGAAGGAATAAGCAAAGGTAAAAACTGATAAAGAAAATTTCCATCAGCATGCTCTTAACTGCTTAAGCCAAATAAAGAATCTCACAGAATGTGTACTCTACTGCATCACGTTCTTGGAATCCTTAAAGGAAATATGTAAATGACAGGAAAGGGGTAACTGCTATCTTTTAGGAAAAAGGACGGGGAGTAATATATCAAAAAGCAGTAAACTTACTTTTACGGGCAGTAATGATTTATTTAGCATCCAACCAACTTCAGACAGGGAAGCTAATTTCCTCATTCTCTAGAGACTGTTATTTTCAATGCCCAAGTTACTTCTAATAGGTCCTTTGGTACAGGCTGTAAGACAAAGCCAGAGAAAATTTTCTTGCAACAACCAGATAACAAGACCATATGACAAATGAAATAATTCTCAACAATCGTAATAAGATTATGCAGACCACCTACCCCAAACTTAAATTAGCGTCACAGTTATGTGGGCCAAATAGATGGATTGAAATTGATGGTTATCACTCATTAGCTTAGGCTTCAAAGACAAGTGTACTTTTCATCTCGCAAAAGACAAGTTTACTGATAATTTGACCTACATACAATTTCTGTCCCAACAGTCCCAACACCAGGTGAAATGAGCACCCTTCACAGACCAAGCAACACATAACAAATGAAGTTTCATAACAGAAACGATCTGGATTCAATTTTTAACACTGACAATAATTAGAAATGAGAAGATTAAGAAAATGACGGCGTACCACACTCAAGCTAGATAAAAAGGATCTACTATGTCAGTTGAGTGTTCTAAGATAGTGTAGTTTGGAAAAGAAATGGCTCCAAATATAGTAAGAAGACTTGGAACAACTTTGGTTTTTTCAATTTTAATATAGGTTGAAGAAACTTAAATCTACTTACCCATGACCTTCCCATGTGCTTAACTGTGCAATGCAGCACAGGTTGACAAAAATGCAAGCTAGTACCAGATCTGTTGCCTCCAAATTTTTGTAACATGACAAAGCAAGGTTTGTGCTGACGGTATCCTAAATTGTAGACGATAGTATATGTTTTAGGTATTTATTCCATCCACTTTCATAGTACAAATGTGTTATTTGGTGATAGAATACTCGGGAGATAAAGAAATTTTAGGAATAGATATTATTTCAAGTTATTTTACATATTTTCTGTTTAATATTATTATCTAGTTTGTTACAAGGAAAACCCTTCCTGACTTATTTTAGGAGAAATAAGAGACATACAAGTTAATCAGCATTTTTATTTATTTAATTTCTTGTTTTTTTACTGTTGTTTCAAATTCAATTATGGTTGAGAGTTACTAATGGTCAAATACGGATTCACGAGGTTGTTACAAGGATCCCAACATCTAGTCTGTCATTGTTGGGGTCAGTTTCTATGATCTTAGGGATTATCAACATTTTATGTACTTCTTTCAAATGTATTCCAGCTTTATAAATAGGCTGGTCATGTGAGAAGTTAAGGCATCGAGAAACAAATTGAGTTTTATTCCTTTTAGAGACTCTCCTTATGTATCTGGCAAGCAAGAATTCTAGAGTGAAATCCTTGCTCTATCTTCCCTATTAGAGTTGTTTTCTTTTTTTTCTAAGAGTTTTGCGCCCTTATCATTTGCACATAATTTTCTGTCTTCTCCTTGACTTTTTTCCAATCTGAACATTCTGCTTAGCAAGAGTTAGTGAGTTTACCGAAGCTGAAGCTGCATGTTTCTGTTAAGTTGTATTTCGTCCTCTCAGCGCATTACCTGTAAGATATTACAAACAGAGCATTACACAATATACATGCAAGATGTTTGAAGAATGCTTGCAATTCAACTATGAAACAAATAGATCCTCAAAACTACGGGGGAAAAAATATCAATTGTGCTAAAAGTATGTGCAAATTTAATTACCAAGTCAATGGAGACAGAGCAAAGAGAATGTCTTCAAAAATTTCAATTACAAAGACAGATTCTATCAGAGCATAAATACCCTTGGGAATCTTACAGGTTCTTATACATAATGCAGCATAAAGTTTGATCATTCACTCTATTTGGTTGCAGTTATTGTTTTCTTCCTTCTTGCTCTTCCCCCTACCCCCATCTTTTCATTATTATTTTAGACTTTATCATATCCAGATATGGAATTTCTCCTCAATATGAATTAATGGAGTCTCAAATATATATATCTTTCTTAATAATTATCATCGTAGCAGAGCTTGCAAAACAGTGGCAAGAAGCCCTCAGATAGCTCTCACTAGAAATGGAAGAGCAAGAGGGAACCTGAAAGCTAAAAGTTGACAAAGAAAAACTCCCTACAGAAAGTTTATTGACTGTTCAGACCAAATATTGAATCAAGTAGAATTCAGACACCACCGCACCCCATCTTGGAAACCTTAAAGAATATATATTAAATGAAAAACACAGGATTTTTGTCCATTAAGCAATAAAATTAGCCTGATTCCTATGGAAAGAAGACCGGGAGTAGCACATCAGCACAACATCAGATACAGTAAACTCTTTCATTTCATATTACTGATTTATTTAGTGTCCAGCCCAAATTTAGACTGGGAAGTCAATTTTCTTGATTCCGAAGAGAGTGTTTTCTTCCACTTCCAAGTTACTTCCTGCGGCTCCTTTGGTCAAGGCTACAAGAATGTCATTGAAAGTTTCCTTGAAACAACATGATGACAGATTTCACCATAAACAGAGCCCATATAATGAGTGCATACTAGATGAATTGGAAATTAAGGTCCTTCCTCAAGCTATAATGACAATCATACTCATAGGACGGCCTACAGACAGTCCCAAGACTGGGTGAAACGAACAACCCCTCACTGAAGAAGTAATGCATGACAGTGAGCTTTCAAAATGAAAAATTCTAGATTTAGTTTGACCTGATTATAATTAGAAATGAGCACAATAGATCAAGAATGTTGTGCCACGCTCAAGCTGGGAAAAGGGATCCATTATGCCAGTTGAATGTTCAGCTCTAATGTAATTTGTATAAGGAAATGGCAACAAATTCGGTAAAGAGACTTGTAACAGCTTTGCTTCTTTTTTCCTTTTTTTTTTTTTTCACTTTTAATGGATTGCGTGGTCGTAAGAAACTTAAACTTTACTTATCTCCCGATTTCCATCTTCTTAACTCTGTAGCATAGCGCAGGTTTACTAAAACACAGACTGATAGCAGATTTGATCCCTCCAAAGCTGTGAAACTTGACAAAGCAAGAGGCATGTTGCCACTATCTTAAACACTAGACGATATATTATACTTTAGGTATTTATGCCATCCACTTACAAAGTCTAGACATATGGAAAAGAAAAAACCAGACAATTTTCCTATTACTGTTACTGATTGATTCGATAACCAATATAATTCAAACGTGCCAATTTTAACCGGGGGGAAAACCTCCATACAGATAGGTTTTTGTTATGGCCAAAAGAAGCTTCAGACAGGTAACCCATTCTCCTGAATCCCAATAGAGTCACTTTCTCCCATGTCAAAGTTACTTGTTGCTGTCTGACGTGTATGTATCTGTAGAATCATGCCACCAAGGCATTGAATAATTTCTTGAAACAATCTGATTGTTGGCCCAACCGCCAAGAAAGCCCATATGATGGATGCAGCCAAACCCAGGAAGAGCGTCAAGATGAAGAGAAGTAGAACGACAACAAGAAGTCCAAACAGAGGAGTAAATTGCTTCACGATAGCAAGGTAATTAGATTGATTTTGAAGTTTTAATTCCGCCATCAAACACATAACATACAAGAATAGCATCACAAAAACGGCTCTCATGATGTTTCCATGCTTATCAAACAGGGACAAATTCTCAGATTGAAATTGAAATTGCAAATAACCACCTACGGTAGTAATCAGAGAAATTATGACAGCATGTAACACTGCAAAAGATTCCTCTTGTCCCCGGTTGAAACTGCAGCCGCAAAAAATAAGTAATAAATAAACTAAATTAGCATAATAAAGTAGCAATAACAATAATAGGAAGAAACCACGCAAATAGTGGAAATCGGAGATGAAATTTGTTTAGTTGAAATTAATAAGAAGAACGGAATACAATGATTGGGTAGTGCTGATTAAACCAAAATAATGGGAATAATAGATGTAAAGTTAAATAGGTGTGGTAAAACCTTTGTGGAGAGCTAAAACTAGGTGGAGCTAGAGGCATGTTGGCCGGCGTCGGGGATCGACGATGGTGGCAAGATCAAGGGTCCCAAAGACAGAAGAAAGAAAACTCACAAATGATGCGCTGACTTACGAGGGCCATGTGGTCGTCTGTATATAGCGAAGGAAGTGAGCAGCAGGGGTGAGTGAGTGTACGGAGAACTGGAGAAGTGGGGAGTAGGAAAATTCATATGGGACGGTCATTTTGTTCTTTGTCGCGGCATGCGGGTGGACAACACCTCGCTGCCTTCCATAGTTCCTTTACCCACAACGTTGCCGTTTTGGGTGTAAAAAGTGGGGTCCTCAACTTCTCATTGCCTTTTTTTTTTGAATTTTTTTTTTCATGCAGCACCTATCATCTTAAAATGAATTTTGACGCACTCAGTAAGATAGAGCATTTCTTTCAAGAGCACCTCGTATGGTAAATAAATTTTTAAAACACTTAGCATCCTAAAATATTTTTTAGTAGTATGCTACAATAATTTTTGGTATTCTTAATGTAGCATTTCGGGCATACCTGGGGTCTGCAGTGAAGTCAGGTTGCCACACAGAGATCCGATCACGGTCATGGAGTCGGATCTGGGAGACACAGCAAATGCACCAGGAGAGAAAAGGTGAGGAATGGAGTACCGAAATGAGTAGTATGGAGAGGAGGAGAAAAACCGTAGTCTTTTGTTCCAACTGATCGTGCGCCAGTTTTGTAACTACATGTCCCTTTTTAAAAAAGAAAACTGCCTCCTCGTCCAACCGTTCCCGCTCTTAGGCAAAAATATATGGAAGGGCAAAAATTATAGTTAGATACCCACAATTTTTGCTATTCTCATCAGGACCCCAAATGATAATTAGGCTTGGGTCCAATCCACCAAGGGTGGACTGGCCCATTTTCTTACATCTCCCACTCACACTTGGTGGATTAGATGTCACGGGTCTAGTCTCTTCACCTTCCCTCAATTTCATACTTAGTGCTTTGCCGTGACCGCGTGGGCATGACGTCTTCGCTTGGGTCCCTGTACTAGAAATCCCTTTTAAAGGATCAACACAAGTCACCCTCTCCTTTGTGTAGCTTGAATTTTAAAATTATGCCTCAGGTGTCCCAGATTTACTTATATACACTTCTTCACAGTAAATCTAATCCTTCTCGAGTCAAAAGTTGACTCAGATTACCTTTCTCTTATGTCTAGTATCCACACTTACGACCACAAAATGTCATAAGGGACATGTCACAGACACTAGCATAGGTGTGTATATCACAGTCAATCTTCCTTTCGCCCAAATATCACTTTGAAATGAATCAGTCGCTTTCTTAGCATACTACCTTAGATCGCATCAATCATGACCATAGGACATATGCCAAAGTAGCAGTCACTGAAACATATCTTCATGATATTGTCAAAGTCAAAGGACACCAATAGGAGGATAATTCCTTCTTGGGACTCACACAGCAATGAAGCAGGGATCTTTCACTTGCTTCCCTTTTGCGGTTCTCCCAGCACATGTGGTATGAAACACATGCTACGGTGTTACTCTTTTATTATAAGAGCGTATGTCGATTTGGATTTATTATTAACACCGTACAGACTTAGGTCCAAACACACTCAGTATCTAAACCCAAATTCTTCAACTCTACTCTTTGTTATAACGTCGACGTTGAAGAGTTTGTTATCTGGCTACAGGTATTATGGAAGTGGGATTCCAAACTTCAATCCAGCTTTATTAATGTGGATCTCATCTTGACTTGCTACACTTTAGTCAAGGCGACATAAGGTTTGTGTTTCTTCCCTACCATATCAGCATTCATTGCTGCTTTACTGGTGAACACAAATGTCTCATCTTTGTTCACTCCACCTGAGTGTCAAAGGCGGTTGCCCGTGTGAGAGAGCCAACCTTTTTAACCTGTACGACATACTAGACATTGTATACTTTCGGACAGACACATAAAGTGATAACGAAATACAATTTCATTAATGAAGCATTCATATTACACTTTACGTATGCCAAGGGCTTGTACATGTTCTTTAAAAACTTTTTCACCTATTGGCTTTGTTAGAGGATCTGCTACCATACATTTGGTTGAAATGTATTGTACAATAACAATCTTTTGTGCTATGTAATCTCTAACAAAATTATACTTGATGTCAATGTGCTTGGTTTTGCTGTGATACTTAGGATCTTTAGTATAGGCTATGGCTGCAGTATTGTCACAGTATACCATCACCGGATTGGTACTCTCATTTCCAAATCCAAGGTGTTCTATAAATCTCTTCAGCCATAAAGCCTCTTGCACTGCTGGAGTGCATGCCACAAACTCAGCTTCCATTGAATGTAAGGCAATGCACGTTTGCTTCTTGCTACTCCAACATATGGCGCCATTGTTGAGCAAGAAGGTATAACCTGAAGTTGACCTTCGTTCTTCTTCATCTCCGCCTACATCAACATCGGAGTACCCAACAAGACGCAGGTCACCTCCTTCGTAGCACAGTGCATAATTGGAAGTGCCCTTTAAGTATCTCAAGATCCTCTTCACTGCTTTCCAATGCTTCTCACCGGGGTTAGACTGGAATCTGCTCACCAGTCCTACTGCATAACAGATGTCTGGTCTTGTACACATCATTGCGTACATCAGACTACCAACAGCACTGGCATATGGAACCAAGGAACAAAAAACCGGACCGGAGACTAAACCGGTCGAGACAGTGGGTCAAGGGTCACTGGTCGGACCGGGGTCGGACCGGGGTCGGACCGGTCATATTAAAATAATATAATTTAATTTATAACATTAAAATAGAACAAAATTTATAAATAATAATTAGTTGAAAAAAGATAAAAAATTACAAAAGTAGTTTAAATATTTCATTGTACCAAGCAAATATTAATAAACTACATATCTTCATCGCTATGGAAAATCAAGCAAAAACACAGGCGGAAACGTTGAGGAGCCAGATTTTAAAACTGTAAAAACAGGGGAATTATTAATTAAATTCATTGTGACGATTCGAGAGGGGGGGGGACCTAGTGAGGAACTCAGAGACGGGTTTCGAACAGAGGATTGGGGAGGTGTCGCCATTGGCGATGCGGGTAATGTCGGGTTCGATGTCCTCGTAGGAGACGACAGGGAGGAGCTTCTTGAAGGTGTCGCGGTCGGTGGCGCCATTCGGACCCTAGACCACCGCGCCTCCACCTCCACCACAAGTCGACCACCGCGCCTCCACCTCCACCACAAGTCGACGGCGCTGCAAGGGAGAATGGCCGGACGCTCAATCAAACTCAGATACTCAGCGAAATGATGGACGATGGGAATGGGGGAAGGGATCTGCGATGTGCGATGTGCGATGTGCGCCAGGACGAAGGAGGGAATGGGGGAAGGGAACCGGGCATTCGACCGATCGGGTGAGTGAGTGTAGGCTCGAAATTTTTTTTTTTTTTAGTATGAAGCGACGTCGTTTTGGGCGGTTTGAGGGGAAAAATATATAACCGGTCAACCCCCCAAACCGGGCGGTTGACCGGTTTACTACCGGTTTAACCGGTTTATTACCGGTTCACTTGGTGACCGGTTTTCTTGTTAAACCAGACCGGACTTTGGACCGGTTCACCGGTTCACCGGTTGAACCGGCCGGTCCGGTCCGGTTTTTTTTTCATTGTATGGAACTCTTTCCATCTTCTTTTTGTCAGATTCGGTTTTGGGACACATGTCAGAACTCAAAGCCACTCCAGTAGCAACAGGTGTACTCATGGGATTGCAGTCTTTCATGTTGAATCGCTCAAGAATCTTGTTGATATAATTCTCTTGTGAAAGAGAGAGGATTCGTTTTGAACGATTTCTTTGGATTTTAACTCCAAGTATGTATTCTGCTTCACCCATATCTTTCATCTCAAAATTCGATGAGAGCCATTCTTTAATAGCCACCACCGAATCTAGACTATTTTCGGCTAATAGTATATCGTCTACATATAAGGATAATATGACAAAATTACCCTCAAACCGCTTAATGTAGACGCAGTGGTCTTCCTCTATCATTTGGAAGTCATATGAGGTTATTGCTTTGTGAAACCTCAAATACCACTGTCTGGATGACTGTTTCAATCCATAAATGGACCTTTTGAGTTTACAAACTTTATTTTCTTTTCCTTTTTCAATGAAACCTAATGGTTGTTCCATATAGATTTCTTCATCCAGATCACCATTCAGAAATGCGGTTTTTACATCCATCTGATGTAATTCTAAATCTAAACTGTTTACTATTGCCAGAATAAGTCTAATAGAATTGAAACGCACAACAGGTGAGAATATATCTTCATAATCAATTCCTTCCTGTTGTGTGTACCCCTTTGCCACTAATCGAGCCTTGTATTTGTCAATTGATCCATCCACTTTTCTTTTAATTTTGAGAATCCACTTGTTCCCAATGGCTTTACACCCTTTTGGAAGATCAACTAACACCCAAACTTGGTTCTTTTTCATTGAGTCCATTTCTTCTTCCATAGCTTTCATCCATTCATCTTTTGTAGGACCTGACAAGGCTTCTCGTACAGAACAGGGCTCATCATCCCCTTCTGGAGTAACTAAGAGAGATTCGCCTTCTATTTGAAAGCGTCTTTTGGGAACACTTTTCCTGTTACTCCTTCTGACGGGAGCTATTTCCTTATCTTTCTTTCTTTGTTCAGTCTTGGTGTTGACCTTTCTTGGCTCCCACTCAGATTGACACACCTAGACGATTCTGGTCTGTCAATTTGTTCTGCACTGACTTGTTCCTGTGTCTCATAAAGAGATACAGTACGGTCAACATCTCCTCTATTAGGAAATTCAGTCTCAATGAATGTGACATCTCTTGATTCCATTTCAGTCACTGTTCCATCTTCGTTTTCACCTATGAAAACGTATCCTTTAGATTGTTCAGAGTACCTTATAAAGATACACTTCTTTCCTCGAGGACCCAATTTCCCATGCTTGTGGGAATCATCATGAACATATGCCGTTGACCCCCAGGGTCTTAGGACACTTAGATCCGGTTTGCGTTTGGTCCATAATTCATAGGGTGTGGAAGCGACTGATTTTGAGGGCACACGGTTAAGTA